CAAAAAAAAAAAAACTCCCAAAAAATAAGAATAACTATTAGTGGATCAAACAAATTATTGAGCCAAACAAGTTAAAGATCGGATCTTGGAACCAAAAATACAATAATAATACCAAGAGGGTGTTCCAATTTGAAGGAGCTTTTGGCCATGGTGAAAAGTGAATGATCCTAGTAAATTAGGTTAGCTCTGCAATTAACAGATATAAAAGGAAATTAGGGTTTTGCCTAAAAAGGGAAAAGAAAGGAACTTCAAAGAGAGGAAGATGAAAGGATCTTACCGAGGAAATTCGTCAATTGTGAAGGTTGAACAAACAAAACTCTTTATCAATTGTCACTTTATGATACGGTGCCGTTTTGAACTAGCATTCCTTTTACCATGTGACATCTGACATGTCCCAATTTATGGGAAAATTTTATTTTGTATCTCATACACTAGTTGTATGAGGTAACTTTTTTGTCTCACAGTTTTGTGGACCCAGATTTCTATGGACCCAGAAGTGTAAGATTGGGGTCCACAAATTTGTGAGATAAAAAAGAGTCTCATACAACTAGTGTCAGTTGTATGAAACACAAAATAAAACTTCTCCAATTTATGTAACATTTTTTGCGTTTCGAAATTTAAATTTCTTAATTTTTACTATGCATTTTAACATAGAATTTTTAAATTTTCAAAATAAAATTTACATATTTGAAAACTACATAAAAGTACTATAAGTTACAATAATTATAAATAATTTTTTAATATGAAAAATTTATGGTTAAAAAATAATTTATTTGACTCTCGAAATCCAGACATCAAGGGACTAATACGGAAAAAATTCGTTTTATGTCTTTGTATATTATATTTTAAATCTCCTTAGTAGCCTAAAAGCATAACTTATTGGTCAAGGAGATTCAAAACGTTTATGAGGTGGTTGGTTTTATTTCACCTTAAAGGTAGATTATATAATTTTTGAAAAACATACCCTTTAAACAGATCAGGAGCTAAGGGACGCTGGGCCAACCAGCTCTTCCCACCAATGAACATCTGTACTTGGAATATCAGAGGGCTTAATAAGCCCTTTAAACAGAAAGAGCTAAAAATCTTTCTGAGTAAGTACAAAATAGATGTAATTGGGTGTGTAGAAACAAGGTTAAAGGAGAGAAAAGCTGGGAGAATTATACAGAAGGTGGCTAAGGACTGGAATGTTTGCTGCAATTATAAAGACCACCCAAATGGTAGAATCTGGCTAATGTGGAGAAACAATGTAAACATCCAGATCATTGAGACTACAGACCAATATATACATTGTAAGGTGCGAAAGGATAGTTTCAAATCACTGCTAACAGTGGTGTATGCCAGAAACGATGTAACTCTCAGGCATCAGCTATGGAATCAACTTGCACAAGCAGGAACAAATGTACAGGATACTTGGTTACTAAGTGGGGATTTCAACAATGTGCTAACTTCAGAAGACATAATAGGAGCACCAGTCACTCAATCAGAGACACAAGGCTTCCAAAATTTAGTTAATGTTCTTCAATTGACTCCATTAAAAAGTATATGTTAGTTCTTTACGTAGTGCAACAAGTAACAGGAAGATAAACGGGTGTATAGCAAGATAGATTGGGTAATGGGCAACTATGTGTGGCTGCAATAATATAGCCACATAAAAGTTGAATTCATGGATCCAGGAGTGTCTGACCACTCCCCAATCCTCATACATATCAGTCTACATAAGAAAAGACTGCACCCTAAGCCTTTCAAGATTTACATAAATGTCATGGAGCATCCAGAGTTCAGGAACATAGTGCAAGAAGTATGGCAGCAAGGAACTCAAGAAGAGCACATGAACAAAATCTGGAAGAAATTGTAGGCACTCAAAAATGGACTTAAAGACTTGAACAAATATATGGCTTCCTACCAGCAGAGACTTGATCAGGCTAGACAGAAACTAGAGATAATATAGGGGGAACTCAATAATTCTCCTCTAGATCAGAGCTTGTTCAATCAGGAAAAAGAAATCTTGACAGAAATGGAAAAATGGAGTCATATAGAAGAACAAGTATTACAGCAGAAGTCAAGGGCCACTTGGATTGAATGTGGTGACTCAAATACCAAATACTTTCGTGCTCAATGAAAAATGAGGACAAGCAGAAACCACATTGCATCTATCTACAACGCAAGTGGCATTAAGCTAACAGATCCAGTCCAAACAGAAGAGGAGTTTATGTCTTTCTTCACCAAACTTATGGGAGAAAGTGGAGAAGCTCATAGATGTCCAGATGCTGCAGTGGTTAAACAAGGGAGATGCCTTGACCAACAACAGAAGGAGACATTGGTTAAGAATGTAACAAATGAGGAGATCCTAACTGCTATAAAAGATATGCCTCATGACAAAGCCCCATGGATAGATGGATTTTCAATTGAGTTTTTTTACAACACAATGGACTATAGTTGGGTCTGAAGTATGTGCTGCAGTCAAGGAATTCTTTGAAACAGGCAAAATGCATAGTGGAATGAATTGTAAAGCAGTCACTATTATTCCAAAAGTGCCAAACCCCAACCAAGTAAAAGAATTCAGACCTATAGCTTGTTGTACCACGCTATACAAGATAATAACCAAAGTAATATCTTGTTTACTCATGAGTTATTCAAAGAGTGTAATAAGAGATCTCATTGAGGAGTCACAATCAGCCTTTATTGAAGGAAGAGGCATTGCAGATAACATCTTGTTTACTCATGAGTTATTCAAAGGATATAACAGAAAAGGGATCTCCCCAAGGTGTGTTTTAAAAGTAGACCTCAGGAAAGCTTATGATACTTTAGATCTCCCTCAACATGAATGGAGGGCTGACAAACTCATTTCAAGAAAGAAGAGGCATTCGACAAGGGGACTCATGCCCCCTTATTTGTTTGTCATAGCCATAGAGTATCTGCAGAGGGAACTTGCACAGCTGGCAAAGAACAAGAACTTTAAATTCCATCCTAGATGTAAGAAATTGGGAACAATTCACATTTGTTTTGCGGATGACCTGTTGATGTTCTGTAAAGCTGATATTACATCCACCAGACTACTGCAGCAAACATTCCTCAAGTTCTCTAACTCATCTGGCCTCCAGGCCAATGCAGAAAAAAGTTCCATCCAGCTAGCAGGTATCTCAGATAGCACAAAACAAGACATTATGCAAGAGTTGGGATATACCGAAGGTACTATGCCATTTAGATACCTAGGTGTACCACTAGCATCCAAGAAGCTGTCTATTATCCAATGTTGGCCATTAGTAGAGAAGATTACACAGAAGATCAACTGCTGGATAGCCAAATTGCTTTCATATGCTGGTAGGCTCCAGTTAATTAAATTAGTCCCGTTTGGGGTACAATCATACTGGGCTCAAATCTTTCAACTGCCTAAGAAGATATTGAAGATGATTGAAGCCATGTGTAGATCATTTTTATGGTCTGGCACATCAACTATAACCAAGAAAGCACTAGTTGCTTGGGACAAAATATGGACAATGAAGAAGGACAACTTATGGGTCTGATGGGTTCACACCTTCTACATAAGAAACAGGACACTGGAAAGTAGTCCAATACCCAAGAATGCTGCTTGGGTGGTCAGAAAGATAATGGAGACATGGAACCTTGTTCTTGAATTACATGGGGATTCATGGGGATCTGGTCAACACACTTGTCCAACTACAAAAAGGAGGGAAGTTCAGTATAAGCAAGTTATACCACATGCAGCTTCCTCAATTACAAAAGGTACCTTAGAAGAGTATCACTATGCAACCTTATTTGCACCCTAGGTATAAATTCATACTATGGATGGCACTACAGAAGAGATTAGCAACAGTGGACAGACTCATCAAATTTGGAGTTCAAGTGTCCCAGCAATGTGTATTTTGTAAGCAATCTGATGAACTATTTGAACACTTATTTTTTTGACTGTCCAATAGTAAGAGAAATATGGACTAGACTACTCAAATGGTTAGGCCATTCTAGACCTATTCAGACTTGGCAAGATGAGGTCCAATGGATCAACAAAGGTTCAAAAAAGAAATCTGGTCACTAGGCAATTGTTACATGTGTATTTGGTATGCTGGTGTACACAATTTGGAGGGAAAAGAATGTGATTAGATTTCAAGGGGGAGTACTAAAAAAGAACAGTATATACAGAGAGATTGTAATGCATATACATACCAGAGGGAGGACAATCAAGAGCTGGCAAGGAGTATTGCAACAATTAGACTATTTTCCACTAAGCTCTTAGACTTGAAGTATGCAGAATGCTTCTGTTTTTTCTTTTTCTAGTGAAGCTTTAAGCTGATGTAAATAGCAATACAGTAGAGATGTCATTAGAGCATCAGACTTAGTGTAGATAGAAGATAGAGATATAGATGGTCAGCATCTACCTGATTTGTAAAGCTGATTTTTTTTTTGAATGAATAGAAAGTCACTATTTACCACAAAAAAACATACCCCTTTCTATTACCCATCAAGTTAAAAATTATTTCTCATATCCTAAGTTACGAAATTATTCCTTCATTTCTCTACTTTATTCAAATTAAATGGTTCTATCATATCATGCTGAGATTTCGTGTAGTTAGTTTATGATAAATGATGAAAAATACTAGACTTTAGGTATAGCTTCATATCATTTTGTATGTAAGTTGTGGGGTATTACATGTTTATTAACATAAAATATACTCATTATATGTTTATTGTATATAAGAATGAGTTTGGATGGAAGTTGGCGAAAATCAGATGATTTGATGCAAAAAAAAGTTGAGAGGCAAGAGCTGGGAGCGTGCCAAAAAATTATAACAGTAGAGAATACTTGGGCGAATTATAACAGACGTAGCGGGAATGATTCTGACAATTGGGAAAATCATAACTCTGGGCCTCCTTAATCTTGTTTCTAACCCTTAGTATCTTTAGTTGTTAATTTACTATTTTAATTTGTAGTTAATTAGTTAGATATAAGAATCTTAATATTTTTAACTTAGAAATTGTTCGAGCTTGCCTTATTGGTGATATTGAACAGTTATAGAGATACTTTAGTTCTCTGTGGGATTCGACTCCGAACTTTTAGATCGGATTATATTTACAGCAACTGCTTATTCTTTTTAAGACTAGAGTTAGGCGTAATTAGTTTACCACACTAAAAATTGCATGTAATGTTGACTATATATTGTATAACCTTTTCGACAATCAGCAAACATTGTAATTTACATTAAAAGTAATTCATATAATTTTTAATTAACATCTTAAGATTACAAGTCAAATACATATAATTAATGATGTCATTTGCAAAGCTTAGAGAACGTGCTATCACGTCGTTAGAGGAATGTAATTATTTGGATATGTACAATTATTAAACACCTTTTTAATTTTTTTTAATTCTGAAAGTTTGTTTATATTGATAGAGTTAAGTAGGGTGACTAGATTATTCTGGCTAAGCAAAAAGTCATCATCATCAGAGCTTCAATATCAAAGTCACCTTGAAAATTTGGTTTTGTATTTGTAAACAAGGGTTAATGTAATGATAAAAACTAGGTTTAAGCTCAAGATGATAATGTAAATTATGTCAAAAAAATACACGTGAATTGCAATAAATAGCCCTAATTAATAAGTAATGTATGACAATCATCTAATTCTTAATTAACTAGTTTAAATGAAACACTATTTTGATTGTATGCAGAGGCCGAGCTAGCGTAAGTTTAATGGATTCGGTCGGATCCAATAGCTTTGGTCCAAACAATGTATTTAATTTAAAAAAAAAATCATTGAATATGTATAAATTATTAATTTAGAACCCAATTACTTAAAAGAACTACAATCCCGAACCCATAAGCTTCAAATCCTAACTCCGTCTTTCATTGTATGCTCTTTTTTGTTTAACTTATCCGGTATTCGGAACCCAAGGATCCTAACTCGATCGCAGAGTCACAACGAATGAAAAGGTTTAATTGAATCCCGTAGTTGAAAAATTGTATTGTATATATAAATAGGGCGAAAATAATTTTTTATGAATATATAAGCTTTTGATTCCCTTGATATAGGGAAATTTTTCATATTGTGGCAAAAATAGTTCAAAATTACTTGACAGGTTCGAATTTTTTAAATTTCCTTACTAAAATTTTTGGCTCCGTGCTTCGACTAATTTAAATTCATATCGGATAGGCTCACTAAAACGTAAAGCGCTTCCTACCAAAAATTTCTCCACTCAACCTTCCCCTATAAGACCGTCAACCTTTTCTTTAAAACAAAAATAAATTAAAAGAGTAAAATAAACCTGAAGTCTATTATTTAAGACATCTCTTAGGACTGAAGTTAAAGTCTTTCTCTCTTCTTGATTGCTTACACATTTTCTCTCATTTGGCTCTCTCCTGAGAATCTTATTCATGTATAGAGAGGACTAAAGTCTTGTAATATATGCAGATATCAAATCTCAAGTAGTAAGCTATCTGTTGCAAGTTCCAATTGAAGAAAAAAAATTCATTTTGGTAAGTAATTCTTGCTTATATATGCATAATCTATTATAATGTCTAATTATCTGTAACAACTCAACCCCTTGTTTTGTATTCTATATTGTGTTTTTGATATGTTCATGGTCACATGACCTCCAGAAGGTCACGGGTTCGAGCCGTGGAAACAGTCTCTTGCAGAAATGCAGGGTAACAATGCGTACGATAGACCTCTTGGGGTCCGGCCTTTCCCTGGACCTCGCGCATAGCGGGAGCTTGGTGCACCATGCTGCCCTTTTATGCCTATTTGTCTCAAGCTTACTTTGTTGTTTTTTTATTTGAATCGAGGGTCTATCCGAAACATCCTCTCTATCTCACACAAGGTAGGGGTAAGGTCTGCGTGCACACTACTCTCCCCGAATCCCATTTGTCATATTACACTAACTATGTTGTTGTTGTTGTATTCCTATTTATGACTTGATTGTATGGTTTGAATTGAGACTCGAGGAGTTTAGATGTCTTTTGGGAGAGAAAAAAAGGGATTCTATTTACATAAATTTTTTTTGAATTAGTGCATATATGCAACTTGGTTGACTTGATTGAATTTTGTGTTTTTCAGAAGATGGCTTCATCAAATGAAGGGACATATAATTTCAAGAATGAAGAATTTCAAGAAGAAGACATTTGGGGTAATAATAATAGTGTTAATGAAAAAAAACAACTTAGTTCTAAGTTCATAACAAGTAAAGATCAACCATTATTTACTTTGAACTCAAGAAGGCAAATACCAACTGCAGCCAAGATTATGATCCCAAAGTCAAACAAGAATTCAATTCAAGAATTCAAAATAATTCAACACTCAGCCCCTGTAACAATACCAGATTGGTCAAAAATTTATGGGACAAGTTTAAAGAAAGATATTGGTAATTTTGTGACAAATAATAGTTGGGAAAGTGATGATCAAGAAATTGAAGAAAATATGGTGCCTCCACATGAATGGCTTGCTAAAAGATTAGGGAGAAACCAAATTTCTTCTTTTTCAGTGTGTGAAGGTGTTGGAAGAACATTGAAAGGAAGAGATCTAAGTAGGGTAAGAAATGCTGTTTTAACCAAAACTGGATTTCTTGAATAATTTCTCATTTATCATCAATGTTCATTAGATGGGGGTGAAAAAAGTTGAGTTGGGTCCCAATTAAATCATGGTGGCGGACCGGCGGTCTTAGAATTTTCTTTTTTTAAGCTTAATAAGTTACATCGATACTTTTTCCTGTACTTAAATTTTAAAAGTTCGTCGATACTTGTTTTGATGAAAGATGGTAAGTAACTGATGAAAATAATTCAGATGTGTGCAAGCTGACGTGGAGACTCAAAAATTGTAGTTTCTTTTTGTACATTTCTAATTGCTTCTTTTTTTTTTCTTTTTTTTTTTTTGCTTTACTTCATGAGGTAATCTTATAGTTACAAGGGAACCAAGAAAAGAAAGACAAAATAGAAAGAAAAAAAAAACAAGCCTCATTGTGTGTGTATAATTATCCTGGTGGCTTTGTAATGTTGCTAGGAGAATAAAGATCCTTTTATGGAGCAAGCAAGCAATGATTTTGAGTCATGTTCTTTTATCAATTATCATTGTGCACATGATTATGAAAGCTAGAATTTTGGAGTAGCTGTCTTAAGTAGCTAGGGGATGGTGAAATTATTTAAATATGATCAAGTACCTACCATATAAAATGTCTTTTAATGAATCTTACGAGACATGAATTCAATTTAATAAAATAAGTGAGAATAAAACATCGAGTAGGAAACCAAAAAGAAAATGGTGAAAGTAAAATTTTCGGTGGGGTTGACCTTCTTCAACAAACAAGTCAAAAACTTAAATCTTAACCGACTCAAACATAGACAAGAAAATAATCTTCTTTTGTAAAATATCTTGTTGAATTAAAATATTTTAATTTGTTGCAAATATTCTACGTCCAATCTTAACTACTTTAATTATATCTATCATCAATTTCTTCATCTTATATCTACTTTCTTGTCTTGAATAAGTGTCGTGAGAGGTGGGCGGAGTTAGAGTATTA